CGTTTTCAACAAAGCCCCCTCCTTTGACAAGCGCAGTCTGCTCTGATTGACCAGCTGACCCAGTGCATTGTGATTGGCCGAACACCACAAGCACGCGTCGGAAATGTAACGCCCCTTACCATAATCGCGAGCTTCAGAGTAAATTCTGAAAGTAAATATCAAGACAGTAAACCGTTTTAGGTAGGCGTGGTTGACTCTTTAACTTTTATAAAGAATATCTCTTTGGATTTGAGACTTTAGTCTTTGCAACTTTACAGATCTTCTTTATGCACCAAGAGCTTGTAACACTCCAAAGAGAATAATGAGGCGGTTTCCCGGACAGGGTTTAAATTAAGACAGGAGTAGGCCTTAATCTAGAATAGTTAATCATGGCTTTAAAAATGGCTTTCTGAAACACAGATTAAGTACAGATTACTAACACCTGGACTATGGAGTCCTGAACTAAAATAAACTTGATTAATTTAAAACCACCTGTGCAAATCAGAACTAGCTGGATTGAGGTTGCCTATAAAACATGGAATGAACCAAGAAAAGTTTAGAATTGTATGCAACTGAGAAGCAAATGGCAATGGCAGCTGAAAAGAGAGTGCGATCAAAGAACTTTTCTGAACATGAGAAAAGTATTTTAAAGCAAATAGTTTCAAGACATCCGGTTACTGAAGATAAACTGTGCACATCAGCTGTTGAATCAAAGAAAAGGGATGCCTGGAAATCTATTTGTAATGAATTTAATGCAAATCAACACATCTACAAGAACAATACAACAACTTCAGGTAAGAATAATCAGCTTTATTATGTGGCTTTTTTTAAAATCATTATCGTTGTCATTATTTAATACAGGTTTTGTGGAAGAATATAAAAATAAACCTCAAAAAAACTGCTGCTGAAGCTCGAAGAGAGAGGTTTAAGACTGGTGGAGGACCTGCAAATAAAGACTGTGACGAGTTGGATGAGTTACTGACAGGAATAATGGAGAGCCAGCAGCCTTTGGAGAACATACCAGATGATGACCATCTAGATAGTTCAGATGATGGATCACGCGCACCTACGTATATGACTTATTTTGGCTTTTGTTTCTCTCCTCTCAAACTTTAATTTGCTTCTGTCATCTGATGTGAAACGTTTTCCCATTTAATCTGTATTTATTTGACCATAAATGAACTGTTCTTTTTTCAAGAAGGTCAGAACAGAACTGAAGAGCTGGAAGGCAGTTTACCCTCCACATCCTCAGGAGCAAGGGTGGCGATGTCTGCCAGTACTGGTCACCAGAAGAAAAGACTCCCTGTCCATGAAAGGTTGGCTAATGAATTCCATGAACACAAGTTGAAGTATCTTAAGGAGGAGCATGAAATTAAGATGAAGATACTACAAGTAGAACTGGAGATGAAGATGGAGGAGAGAGATGCAGCAGGCTCAAAATGTCACATCAATACATGAATCTGTGAAATAAATATTGTTTTATTAAGTCAATATGGAAATGATGGTTTCATAACATATCAGACAAAATATCATTATACTTTTAACATATATTTTATTTGCTCATTACATGTATCAGATCTGAGCAGAAGGTTGAAAGGCATAAAATATCTATTTAATGTGGCACAATGCAAAAGCATGTGTATGCAAGTCCTTCTCTGAGGTCTGTTGTAAATGGTGGCACCTCTGGATTGTCATCCTCTTCTATTGGGGGATCTGGGCATCCCTGCTGTTTCAGCTAGTTGTGAAGAACAGTTGTTGCAATGATGACTGAATGATCTTCTTGGTTTGAATCGGAGTGTTTTCCGAAGACACTGAAAGCGACTCTTCCAAACACCAAACATGCGCTCTACTAAACCCCTTGTGCGCATATGAGCCTGGTTGTAGCGCCGTTGTTCAGCCGTTTCTTCTGCGCATACCCACTGTCACCAAGCAATATTCCAGTATACAGAGATGAGGAGTATACAGAGATGAGTTGAGGAAAATTCGGGAATCATGTGTTGCACCCTTCCAATGTGCAACAATGTTTGAGAACTGTAACTGGGGAGTGCATACGCCTTGGACATTTATGGAAAACCAATTCTTTCGGTTCCTTATTCCTCAGCATCTGGAGTAGGGGGACGCTTAATGGGAATATGGGTTCCATCTATGCAACCTATGACTCCTGGGAAATTTCCATATTCATAGAATAGTACCTTGTAGTTAGCCTGGGTTGTAGCATCAGGGAAGTTGATGCAATATGGTCTTAATTCATAAATGGCCCTGCATACTCAGTGAACCAACAGTATGTAAAGTCATTCACAGACAACACACAAATTTCCAGATTCTCGAATGAAAGGCACCACATGCCAAAAACCTTAACGTTATGAGCACCTGGAGACAAACTGGAACAAGCTGTCCTCTTTGGGTCACAGATGAATGCCTGGTTTCTAAAAGTGAAATAATTTCTACTGCATTTACTTTATGCATGTGGAAATGATCTCGAAAACGTATTTCATCAAAATGTTGCAATAGGTCACTTCTGTCTGCAAGAACTTGTCTAGCTGGTGGTAAGCGTTGGTCTTCATTGACATAGGCCAAGTAATCCATGTGTCTTTCAAATGACATTAATCTGAAGTTAAACCTGCCTCCTGGTAGATTTAATTTAAGCCTCAATTTAGTCCTTAAGTAGCTCTAGTCTTACTCCAGGAAATCATCCTATTAAATTCTGGACTAGACCAAGCCTAAGACTATTTAAAACCATGACGGAGAAAGCAGATTTCTGTTAATCTGGTTTAAAGTGTCATTTTAGTCTAGGACTAGGTTTATTCTCAGAAACTGCCCCAATATGATATATGATCTGCTTTGTAAAAAAAAAAAAAGTTAAGATGTAAGGTTAATGTACATCCAGCCTGTTACTTATGTTTTAATCCATTACCATTTTCAAAAAC